CGCTAGTAGTAACAAGGTTCGCTACTAGTAACAAGTGCATCGCTTCTGCCCAAATACACATGTGATTTGCCATATATGTATTTGTATGTGCAAGGTTTAGTGCCAATACACAATGGGTGCTTTTGTTAGTGATGTTACGTTTCCCTTTTTTCAGATGCGTTTGGTGTTTGCCTTGCTTGTTGTTTTTTGTTCTAAATTCGGCTCGTTTGTTTTTTGTTGCTTTGCTGCTCTTGCTGCTTTGCTGCTCTTTCGATTGCTGTTTGGTCTACTATGCTGGACATGTTGCTGTTCGGTCTACTGTGCGGCGCACTACTGCGCGACTTGCACACACGTAACATACACATATCAGACAGAGAGGCTTCAATACGTTCACATTTGCTTTGCAAATGTGTATGTCATGGTTGTTTGGCGCTGTTGGTGCAAAAACACATTGAAGTACAGCACTGCTTACATGTGGTGCTTACAAGACGCATTAAAACCAAATTTAGGCGAGAGCGAAGAGCCACTCCAAGGTAGCAGACCTTTTGTCAGCCATCGGAGGGTAACATTTAGAGGAGGTAGGAGTCATTCCCCTACGCGAAATCTGCACTACTTCTTCCAATGTACTTTGCCTGCTACGACAGCTGTTTCTCTTCAGTGTCAGCCTGCTACCGAAGTTGTTTCTTAAAGCTCAGCCACATTCTTTTTGGGGGTAACGGATATGCGGATCCCATAGTCAAGCAGGTCCACATAGTCAAGCAGGTGCAAAGACGTAATGCTTCACTTTGAGGCGATTATCTCAGCCGGCGAGATCGCTGGATGCCGGGCCGGTATCTCAGTGTGCCGTCATTTTGGGCTGCGCCTCTGTTGTAAAGCCAAGAGCTAGTTAACTCCTTTTGTTTTTTAAGACATTTGTTTGAAAACATTTGTGTGTGTGTTTTTAAGTGTGTTTGTTTCCTCTGTGTTTTTGGGCAATGGTTTCCTTGTTTGTTTCAAAATTGTTTTTCATGTTGTCCTTAAACCGTACTTTGTCAAACTTTTTGTCTTAGGCCTCAATTGTCATTTGTTGGTTGAAGAACTGTATTAAACTTTTATAATTAGAGACATTCCTTTTTAGGTGTTGTTTGTTAAATATGTTGTGTGTCTAGATACTTGTGGTTTTTCAATCAATTGTTTAAACGACGTGTGTTTGTTTGTTTTGTTTGCATTTTGTTAGTTAGAACATGTTAAAACACATGCCTATGTTTTAGACCGTTGTTTGTGTTGTTTCTGTGCGTTGTTTTTGTTCAATTGTTTTCAAGATCAAGGGCACAAACTCCAACAGCGTTCACTGAGATGGAAAGGCCCACGTAGACGTCGCTCCACCCCGAAAGCAAGGCTCAAAGCTCATCACAAGATGTTCGCAGTCACATCTTCCTAAGATACCCCTCCTTTGGGGTCTCGTCAGGGATTGGCAGCTGGCCTTTTTGCAACAGCCAAACTGTTTTAAACACATTGCAAAGTACGGGAATTGTTCAGATTCTACAAGAACTTTGACATGCCACTACCAAAGAGTCTTTTCTTTTTTTGGAAGAGCGCTCTTCCTTTCGATTTTTCTTCAGACCTTTCTTCCTTTATTGACAAGAAGCTACTAGGGGCTCCTGGCCTTACTACTAGTAACAAGGAACGCTACGAACGTAACATTCATTGCCGTTGCATTTGAGGTTCTGACGTTGGTGCACGAGACATCGGCCTTTGCGGTGGGCCCACCTCAGCGAGACAAATTCGAAAGAGGGCCTGTTCGGTGACTCATTGCTACTACGAACAACAAGAGTTCTTTCATGCATTCATGTTTTGTCCTTTTGAGTAGTTGCTATGTTGTTGCTTTAGACCTTTCGATATGTGTTTGTTTGTTTTGCTCTGTGTCCTTTGTTGTTTTCTGAGTTTTGGTTTGCAAAGACGTTCTTAACTCGCTCGTCGGTGCGGCGAGCCAGTGGCAGTCTCACATAAAACGCCACAATGCTGTCCCGAGACTTTGAGGAACTAAGTCTTCGTCCAACTGACTCGGGTGAAGACCAGGTGTGACTGCAGTGACGGACAACTTGATGTTTGCAGTAATTGCGTGGAACCTTTGGTCATTTTGGATGGAATTCTCGATTCTGAGAAATCCGAGGTGCAGCGAGCAACTGATGATGATGTGACTCCAGCAAAGGGAGTTGGCACCTTGGAGTAGTGCAACCTTTGGAAGCATTAGGAACAAGGTAACAAAGCCACTAGTAACAGTGCAACCTTTAGGAAGCGAACAAGAAGAGAACCAGAATGGACGTCAACCTACTAGCGATGGCCTCCAAGCTAAAGGAAACAACTAGGGTGTGGAAAAGTATGTTCTGGGAAGGGCAGGGATGCTTTGTTGAAAATTATCGAAAGGCTTTCTTGAAAGATGTTTGCTCTTTCGACAGGGTCACAATGGCCTCCAACCAAAGAGTGATCGCTTCCAGCCTACATGAATGACTTTTTTACGTGTGTCAGAGGAATAAGAAAGCATCCAATGTTGAAGGCCAGTGACATCCATTTGTTCTACAACCTGGGATCCAGGAAAGCCGAGGCACAGAGGGAGGATGAGGGAGGTAGTACGAGCAGTGAGGGGCATGCCTCCATGTTTAAGAGAACACTTGGGAATCCACGAGATTGCAAGTCAGTATACTTTCTACTCAGGTGACATTGAATGCTACAAGATCCTTTTTTTAAGGCTGTGGGTCCTAGAACACTTTGGACAATCTGTCTTTATGCGAGACTGCTTTGTTGGTCCTTCGGTCTGAAATACCTTCTCGAAGGGTGTTTGAAGAGCAGAACTCTGTCTGTGACCAGGCAGGAAGAGTTAGCTGAAAGCTGAAGTATGCTAGATGTAGCTAGTAGGCTTGGAAGCTACTAGTTGCAGTCCGAAAATGTGCAATCGAGGGGTCCTAGTAGAAATGCCCTTTGCTACTAGTAGCAAGAATGCTCCTAGTAGTAAGGCCAGGAGCCCCTAGTAGCGTCCTTGCTCCTACAAAGCGATGCCCTTTGCTCCTAATAGCGCCTTGTTGCTGTAAGGGTTATCACATTAGCTGCCCACGCCGGTGAGCATCCTCGAACATCCTCGATCAAACCCAGAGGTTCACAATTACTGTAAGAACGTGTTTTCTCGACACTGTTTGCGGAATAGAAAGATATGTCCTTTTCTTTCTTTCCCTGTAATTAAATATTGTAGACCTTTTTTCTCTCGTTTTTCTTCGAAAAAGACCTTTACAAAGATCCGAAACCGTCTCAGCAGCTCCAGTCCTGGCGGTTCCGGTTCACCGTCTCCAGGTCTCCATCGTCCGGTTTGAGAGTCGCCCTGCTGGGATGGCAGAGCCGGCCTGGTTGACCGTCGAAAACACGTCGATCGACTAAAGGGGGGGGGGTAGGGCGCGAGAAGAGTTGAGGTAGGTAGCTAGAGGTAGCTAGTAGCTAGCTAGTAGAAGCGGTAGCTACCTACAAGTAGCTACTTAGGACGGATAGCTCACGCTTCTGAACGGCGGCAGGGGAAGCTTCCTTGAAGAAGCGCTCGCACTGTTCATTTGGTTCCTAGATTTTTAGGGACACTTAACTAGCTTGCAACAAATCCAAGGGCAGAGCAGCAGGACATGGATGAAGGACGTCTTTGTTGCTTGGAGAAACGATGAAAGAGATGGATAATGTTTCACAAAGATGAGAGAGAGAGAGAGAGAGCGAAGGATGACATGCTGGGCAAGACAAACACATTTCAACGGCAGAGGAGAGGTGAGAAGAACAAGAATGGAAGGAAGACACATGGAAATATGTAGGGGATAAAGGCCAGGCCGAGAACGAACTGGTTCCAAAATGTTCTGGACCCATCTAAAGGCTGAACCTGATACCTTTGAAAGTATTGAATCAATTGAATCTAAGTCAATCCAGTCAACTTTGATAGTGGTTTTTGCTTGGTCTGTCATGTTCTCACCATCGTTCTGCCTAGCTGTGCCCAGGTCGCAAACAAAATGGTACCAGTTCTTACGGTGCTCGGCTCTGCCATAGACTACAGTATTGGCGGGAGCAGCTGGCATGTTGAGAATACTGTTAACAAGATCATGAAACCTAATTTGTAGCAGTTATCTGATGTGTTACATATACTATAGAGTACTAGTAGGTTGAAGGCCATTGCTAATTGTCCTGTCTTCCTGATCGGATACTCTCTGAACTTGTTTCCATAATGTGTTCTGAGGAACTTTTTTCGCCTAGTAGTGGCTAAAGACATCACATGTGAAAGATCAAATGGCACTGACACTGACTTGCTTGCGTTTTGGATCGGTTTAGACAGTTTAGAGCTCTTTAAAAAGACATGGTCAAGACCTTTCGTGATCCCGAATGCCCAAAACTCGCTTCCAAGAATGCTCTCTACTACTTGCCTGAACGGCGAAGGTTAGTATTTGTTACTACTTACATCGTACATCAATCCCACTTGTGTCGTATTGAAATCCATGTGTTAAATGTTGACGCAATTAGGACGAGT